TACAATTAATTATTAATGTCTTGCTCAATTTAAATTAATCAATTTCCTGCTATTTTAAACAATTTCCATTAAAAATTAATCAGTTTCCTTAATATCATTCTTACTGTTAATATTGATATTTGATATCTGACCCTTTGTTTATAATAACACCAATCTAATGTTGTAATATAATAAAAAATACATGTAATTAACCCGAAAATAAATAAATACATGGTGTCTTTAATGTGTAGTTTTCCTACTTGTGTATTGCCCTATAAACCTTTTTGATAGCCACAATCCTCATTTTTTTTTTGCTTCAGCCCCCCAATTGTCTGAGGGACAGCAACCCGGCCCCCAGCTCAAAAAGGTTGCCTACCCCTGCACTACACCATGCTGGCTCTCATTAGTCCATCTAGTCCTTGGTAGTTCTGGGAGGAAGTCCTACCTGAAACTTTATAGAGAGCTGTTCTCAGTCTTTTTTAAAATAATACTGGATTAGTTCATCTAGTTGACTAATTTAATTGACATAGTTTCAGGAAGGATTTTCTCCCAGCCCTACCAAGGATCTTCTGCAACAAGTTTGTGTGCTTTACCACCAACCTACCACTATTGCTCTTATATCGAGGTGGTGGTCTTTCCATAGTTATCTGATTGACCATTATGAGAAACAGGAGATTAAGCTCAAAGGGCCTTTGGTTAAATCTAGCAGACCTTCCTTATAGTTCTACAATATTTATATAAATACATAGAATAAAAGTTAATAATGCTGTATGCTTTCAAGTCATTTCCGACTTATGATAACCTCAGATGAACCAATCTCTGGGTTTTCTTGGCAAGGTTTTTTTTTTCTGAAGGGATTTGCCATTGCTTTCCTTTCCAGCTGAGAGAGTGTCACTTGCCCAAGGTGGGTTCCCATGACTGCCAAGCAGGGATTTGAAACTTGGTCTCATAGACTCCTAGTCTGGCATTCAAACCACTACACCACACTAGCTCAAAGGCAATGGAGTAGAAGGGAGAAAAATTTTCAAGGATTTTGTGGGAGTTCTTGCTCCTTTTCTAAACCCATCAAATAAAAATCAGATTAATTTTTAGACATCTGTAATCCGTATTTTCTTCTAGACCTGTCTGCCTTTCCTCCTCTGTAGTAGAAAACTCCCAAAGAAATCCCCTTATAGAGAACATACCCATCCATCCTGTGAGAAAAGTGATGACTATAGACTGGAATAGCCTGAAAGCTTGCTGCAACTAAATTATTAACTGGAAATCTACGCCTCTGCATTGGCATTTTAGCTCATGTTCTGCTTCAGGGCAGCTTTGGCTGTAAGTACAGTAATTGTTAACCAGGGCAGGAAGAAAACGGAAGAAAGGATGGATGTTTTTACTTGAAAAACTGTTACGGTGAACCTCTCTTGCTCAGGTGTCCTGACTTCATTATAAATAAATGTCTGGGAAGATGGTTCTGTTCTTGTGATGGCTCTATTCAGCTCATTAGTTTGCATTCTCGCAGAGGGAGAAATAATTTCATATGTACATAATTAGGACATTGAGACCACAATGTGCACAAGCAGAAGTCAAAAGCCTCTTTGCTTGAAATATTCAGGGTTGAAAATGTTGCTTATGAGGGGGTATCGTAAAGTTTTAATTATCACCTTTAAAAATTTGCCAGAAAGTTTGTTTTGATTTGTAGTTGTTCTCTATGTAGTCACCATCCAGATTTACACATTTTCCCCAGTGTTTCATGACCCCCCGAATACCGTTATTGTAGAAGTCTGCAGATTGTGCCTTACGAAGATTTTATACTTTAGTCTCTTCTGGCACAACCTGTCACAAAAATAAAGGATACAATGAGGTGACTTTCTCAACATCAAGTACTTAGGGACCAATACTGACACTGACAAAATTTTGTCAATATACCATAATAACGTCCAGGTGATCATTATTACTTTACAGTACCACGTACCACCTCGTAAGGCGCAATCTGCAGACTTCTACAATATCAGATATTCGGAGGGTTGAGAAATGTTGGGGAAAATGTGCAAATCTGGATGGTGACTACGTAAAGATAAGTTAACAATTACAAATCAAAACAAACTTTCTGTCAAATTTTTTTTAAGGTGATAATTAAAACTTTACCCCCTCGTATGTCAAGTACTCAAAGCAGAGAATGACACACACAATGAGCAGATAGGGTGCTGGCAGAGATTGGGAAAGTTACTTTTCTGGACAGCAAAAAAAAAAAAAAAAGATGTCTTGTGACATCTTAATGACAAACAAGTCTTATGGGTGCAAGCTTTTGTGGACAGCAGCCTCATGTCTTCAGAACATGAATCTGATGAAGCTAGCTGCTGTGCATAAAGCCTTATGCCAAATGAAGAACCTGGGCTGATTCTGGAATATTCTGGTCTTGGAGCTGCCCCAAGGTAATTTTGTCCATTACCCCCACACTCCATAGTGACCTCAGGTGGCTGTCTACACACGTGTCCCCCTAGGCCACATGGTGTCACTGTTGGTGACATGGGTCATTCCCTATGAGATTAGAAATGAAGTGCTCAGTATCAATCACATGGCTGGACATCTTATTGGGACCTCAGAGGGAGGAACTTGCCTCAGTGGTGGCAGAGCTGGGCAACACAGTGGGATGCATGTGTAAATAGCTGCCCCATGTCACTACAGAATGCTCAGGATGTTCCTGCAACATCTGGAGCAAACTTTGAGTATTTAAAAACTGATTAGGCAGGGATAGGGCAGATTCAATGCAAAATTGGCCTTCCCTTGACAATTCAGTCAGCACTCAAATTGGAGCCTTGTCCCAACATTGCGTAGAAAGCTTACAATGAGGGCAGAGGGAAACTGGTTTAAATGGCCCATGTTGCATGCCCTTAGTCTTGAAGGTACCACAAAATTCCATGTTGCTCTTGTGACAAAAAAGCCAAATATGTGGCTTCAAGTCACCTGTCAACTTATGATAACCCTATGTATTTCCTAGGGTTTTCTTAGGTAAGGAATACTCAGCGGTGGTTTTGCCAGTTCCTTTCTCTGAAATTTAGGGCCTGGTGTTCCATAACAACTCACCTTTGTTGTTGTTGTGCACCTTCAAGTCATTTCCAACTTATGGTGACCCGGCCTAGGTGACTCAATCAAAGGGTTTTCTTGGCAAGATTTCTTCAGAGAGGGTTTGCCAATGCCATCCTCTGAGGCTGAGAGAGTATGAACGTTATCACACGGGGGCAAATCTGCTGGTTAATCCACACAAA